CCTAAACCCCAAACCCGAGAACCTAAGCCCTAAAACCCGAGAACCTAAGCCCTAAACCCCAAACCCGAGAACCTAAGCCCTATTGCTGTCAGGAGGCGCTTGTCAATGACAGCCAGCAGATCCAGGCGCACAATTAATATTAATTGCAAGAACTTTTGTAATATTTTTTTGTATTTAGGGTTTAGGGTAAACGTTTAGGGTTTAGGGCCCTAAACCCCAACCCGAGAACCTAAGCCCTAAACCCCAAATAACCCGACAACCTTTAGGGTTTAGGGTGAACGTTTAGGGTTTAGGGCCCTAAACCCCAAACCCGAGAACCTAAGCCCTAAACCCCAAGCCCGAGAACCTAAGCCCTAAACCCCAAACCCGACAACCTTTAGGGTTTAGGGTTTAGGGTAAACTTTTATTTTAGGGTTTAGGGCCCTAAACCCCAAACCCGAGAACCTGAGCCCTAAACCCCAAACCCGACAACCTTTAGGGTTTAGGGTTTAGGGTAAACGTTTAGGGTGTAGGGCCCTAAACCCAAAACCCGAGAACCTAAGCCCTAAACCCCAAACCCGCGAACCTTAACCCTAAACCCCAAACCCGAGAACCTAAGCCTTAAAGCCCAAACCCGAGAACCTAAGCCCTCAACCCCAAAGCCGCGAACCTAAGCCGTAAACCCGAGGACCTAATCCCTAAACCCCAAATTCGCGAACCTAAACCCTAAATCCCAAACCCGAGAACCTAAACCCTAAAGCCCAAACCCGAGAACCTATAAGCCCTATACCCCAAACCCGCGAACCTAAGCCCTAAACCCGACAACCTAATCCCTAAACCCCTTAAACCCTCCAATGCTGGCAGGGGACACTGCCCAATGATATCCAGCAGAAGGAGGACCACAGACCTGATTGCACTTTTTTTTTTTATAGTTAAACCTAACTAGTTGTGCTGGCAGGAGGCGACACAGCGTGCCCCCCTGCCTGCGAACCCGAAATTGAAAGGGGCTGTGAATGCGGCGGTCCAGTCTGGAATGGTGCAAGAGATCTTGGAGGGCCGGGGCCCCATCCCATACCAGGAGACTCGGACATGGCTGTAGATTTTTTTTATTTCGTAAGCTAATAAATTTAATAATTGAAGTTTAAACAACCGCTTCGCGCATATGCACTCATTCCGCAGGATTCCATGAATCGCAAGGACCACGAGTCCGAGGAGGAGAGGATTTTCAGGGTGGCTCACAACTTGTATGTGAAGATGCAAAGGTCGACAAAAAGCGGCTTGGAATGCTCAAACCCTAAAACCCTTATAAACCCTTATAAACCCTAAACGCGAAACCCCTGACCCCTAAACCTTAAAGCGTAAACCCAAAACCCTAAAATGTAACTATCGCTGGGGCCCACTTCTTTGAGGCAAGGGCTGCCCGGACCAGGTGGTCGCAGCCGTCGCGAAGGCGAAGAGCGGTGCCTCGGATTGGGTCTGGCTTCAGGTCCACTTAAGCTTTAGGGTTTAGGGGTTGGGTTTAGGGTTTCGGGCTGTTGGTTTCGTGCTTATATGGGTTTCGGGTTTAGTTTAGGCTTCAGTTTAGGGTTTAGGGTTTAGGGGTTTAGGGTTTAGGGTTTAGGATGCGAGCTATTGGCTGGTCATGTGTGATCTACTTATATTCTGATATTGCAAGGCCAGATGAAGCTGGAGGACATCTTCGTCGACTACTTGAAATCCGGCGGCTCCTGGATGGAATCGACCCTCGTGGTCTCGACCAGTACTTTAAAGAGCAAAGAGCTGAAGACCAACGAGGTGTTCATGCGGTACTGCGACTTGAAGAAGCGAGATGGGGCCGTGACGGCCAAGCTCATCCGCGACGAGAAGCGGCTGCTACAGGACGAGCTCGACAAGAAGCCGAAGATCGCCGGCGAGGAGCCGCTGCCGTACATATTCGCCCATCCTGACTTACCAGGTTCGGAGGACAGGGCCATGGTCGTCGTTAGAATCGAATCGCTGCCGCCAGACTTTGATCACGAGCTAAATAATTTAAATTTGATCCTTGATCTGACAGGACTGGGAGCTGATCAGGGTGTTTGACTCGGCGACGGTTGTCGCCTCGGACAAGAGGACACAGGAGGCCCAGCTCTCCACGGGGCCTCTGGAGCTGGATGGGCAGCAGACACGTATGATGCTGTGACTTTGCTTTAAATTTAACATTTTGTGGCCTATACCGATTAAACGAAGTTCAACTTTAATTTATCAGAGGCCAGCAGCCCTGGGCTACAATGCTGCTGCTGCAAGCGGCTCGGCTGATCCTGCTGCTGCGGTGTCCGTGCTGCCACAACCCAGCGGCCTCCGGACGTTGGGATCGAAGGAGTCTCTCGAGAGAGAGGCGGAGCAGCTGAAGAAGATGCGAAAGCAGGGCAAAGGAGGCGTTGCCGGGCAGGTGAGGACCAAGGCGAAGCAGGTCGGCGACAAGATTGCCGAGGCAGATGACTTGATGACGAAGGTGACCGACTGTGAGCACGTGCAACTCGTTCTAGTTTATCCACCCATAGCCTATTATTTATGCTGTAAATAAGCTTTAGCTAGGATCATGGTACCCCAACCCCAAATCCGATAAATTAAAGCTTGAAGCCTAATTGCGCGATAACTCAATATCCGGCCCTATGGACGCTACCCTAACCGGTACCCTAAACCTTGATCCCAGGTCCCCGCCGCTTCGCACGGGCTACAAGGATGAGCTGGCGATGCACAAGGCGGCTCTCACAGAGCACATGGAGATGATGCAGGCACACGATTGAATGGTTGTTCGCGAATTCGGATGGTACATATCAAATAGCCTAGCTAAAACCAAAACCCAAAAAATCCAAGCCCTACCCCTGCTAGGTCCCTGCCGGCTACAGTAGCACAGTACGAGTAATATATATATATATAAAGAGTGCATATATATATATAGATTAAATTATAGTGAAAAACCGGTACCCCAGTCCCTAAACCTCAATCCCAAATCTAAACCCTAGGCCTAATCACCCAAATACTAAGGCATGAAGCCTGAACTGGCTAATGAATGATTACCCAAGCCTGTACCAATGCAACATTTCGCTAAACATCCAGATGCTAGATTAAATTATAGTGAAGTCCCCGTAGTACCCCAGTCCCTAAACCTAAATCCCAAATTTTAACCCTAGGCTAACTAATCACCCCAAATACTAAAGGCCTAAAGCCTAAACTGGCTAATCCATGATTACCCAAGCCTGTACCAATGCAACATGTCGCCAAACATCCAGATGTTAGGCTGAGGACTTCGAGAAGGGCTCGGAAGAGGCGGTGCAGAAGGCCTTCGACGATCTTACCGAAAAGCTCAAGGCCTACTCGGATTCCGCTTCGATGATCAAGAAAAAGGTTGTACCGTGGTTAGCAGTAAATTGTTGTAATCTCTAGACTCGAATCTGAGCTAGCCCGAGTACAATAAACCCTAAGCGCTAAAACCCGAAACCTTAAAACCCTCAACCCTAAAACCCTCAACCCTAAGAACCCTTAACCCTTATTCCCTCAAACCCTAATTACCGAGCCTAGCGCCAGAGTCTGCATGATGCAGTAGAACACAGTTATCGTCGACACCATCGATATCTGTACCAACCCTTCAACCCACCTCAAGCCCCGGCCTAGCTAACCCCGAATCTAGCCGAGGCAGAGCCCAAGCCGAAGCAGGCCCCGAAATCCAAGGGCAAGGCGAAGGCCAAGGGAAAGGCAAAGAGCAAGTGATGTCAGCTGCTCCTGCAAGCTTTATGAAGCAAAGGGCCAATGTACTGGCCACGATGACTTTTGCAGATCTAGATCTGTTCGTCGGCGAATTCGAATGGAGCCTAGAGCCTAAACCTAGGACCTAGAATCCATAGGGTCTGCATACAGTGCCGGGTCCCAAATATCTGCTGTGCTAGCACATGTCGCCGATGGCAGATCGCAGGATCATGATTTTCTGTGGCTTGTGTGTACAGATCTCTCCAGATCGACGTCCGATCGCTGCAAGCACAACACCTGCAGAGTACGAATGCATCTTTAGAGATTACCGGCAGCGATCTTAGCACGTGTATTCGCCCTCGCAGGCAAACGCGATGTTGGCCCTCTATGCAGACACGTTCTGAAATGTGCCGGCCGCGGGGATGCCTTGTCTGAAATTTTGGCCTCTAACCCCTTAGGAATCCAAACCCTACTTTCATTGTACACCTAATATAGCTAAGGAAGCCCAAACCCCATTAATTGCAAGAAACCGATCCTCCAACTCCAGAATATCATCCGCGATCGAGGACCTCAGCTTGACGGGTGCTGTGGAAATGCTCCGAGAGGGCCACAAGGAGAGCCGATGAGGGTTGTGCACATATATATATATATGCATGTGTCCAAGCCCCACATCTTAAATACCCTAAACCCGAAACCCTAAACCCTTAAGCCTGAACCCCTAGATTGGTGTAGCGCATGTGCACAACTAAAGGAAGTAGCATCTACGGGCGGCAGCCTGGGCCGCCTGGCTGAGCGGCTGAGACGAGCTGGATGCGATGGTAAACACAAGCAGAATATTGAGCGAGACCTTCTGCGGACGGGTTACCAGAAATTTGGGCTGCGAAACATGATTGCACATAGAGCGAGAGTGTAGCCATGTCGGGTTTTCGTATGTGTATTCTCTAGATTCTAGATGTTAATCCGAATAGGTGCCAATCTCCTGGGTGCGAGTGCCGATGCGAGCATCGATCACAGACGACACCGTCGTCATGAGGTGCTGCATGAGCTGGCAATTAGCTAGTATAGTGTTGATAGCTCTACATGTGATCAGGTCGCATGCGGCCTGAAGCCAAGGAAACTACCGGTCATCCTCCCCCACGAGCTGCTGTGCTACTTAAATGTCGAGAAGATTGCCGAGGGGGAGATCGATATAGATGCTGTCAATACATACTGGCAGCATTGCAAGCGATACACTGAATGGGCGGGGCAACACCCGGGAGCCGATGAGTCGCTTGGCCCCTGTGTCCCGTTATGGCTGTATGGAGATGACATCAAGCACAGTGTGCGAGAGAAGCTGTGTGCCATGTATTTGGGACATGTGCTGTCGAAAGCTACATTTTCTATGCGGAGTCATTTTCCGATCTTCATCATCAGGGAGGCCGCAGCCGCTGAAGTCGTATATATTGTATCCCATAGCAGGTATCCTAAATTAACTCACTAGACTTGGCCGGTAAGTTGCAGGCCCTGAGCTGTGGCTTCAACACGATCCAAGCCTACCTTCGCCCTGTGGCTTAGCATGAAACCTCAGCCCTAAAACCTTATTATAAGCTAGCCACAAGCCCCAAACCCGCAAAAGCCCTAAACCCCAAACCCCAAAACCCCAGCCTTACACCCCAAACCCGAAAGCCAAAGCTCTACACCCCAAACCCGAAAACCTAGGCCCTAAACCCCAAACCCCAGAAAACACTAGCCCTAAACACCAAACCCGAAAACCTAGGCCCTAAACCCCAAACCCAAAAAAACACTAGGCCTAAACGCCAAACCCGAACAACTAGGCCCGAAACCCCAAAACCCGAAAACCCAAGCCCTAAACTCCAAACCACCTTATTATTTCCAAGGTAGTGGCTTCGCTCAACGCATGCCTGAGCGGCTTCCATCCAGAGAGGCCAATCCTCGCTGAGTCTGGGGACTGTGAATGGCCGGCATGTGTGCCGACGGTCGATTATGGTCGACCGCTGGTGCTGAAGAATCATCAGCCAGTTCGCTTTGCAATGACGGAATTAAGGGCTGATTGGAAGTTCCACAAGGATAGTGTCATGTCACATCCTATATTTAATGCATTGCCCTTATATTACAGTACTTATCCTGGGGATCTCTAGCGCTTAGACATGTCTTCGAACTGCAGGAGATGCTACAGCTATCCACCGGGTGGAGCAGCAAGCTTGTCTGTCACCATTGCATGGCAAGCAGGGAGAATTTTTTCAGAGCCCTTCAAGGTTACAGTCCCAGCCACGGCGAAGCATGCAGAACTTCGTGCAAGAGTGCATCGAGCCCCGGAGTTCGGTGGATGAATGATGTACACAAGTTTTTACTTATATTTAGTAATAAGCCTAGCTAGGCCTAGGGTGTACTCTAGATCTATAATGCTATACCTGAGCCGAGGCCACATGTTGAGCCTGATAGGCTTTCACGTTTGCATGGTACGATGGTGTTCCTTACACTCCCTGAACCTGGGGCCACTGGTGTGGTCCTGTGGGGCTTGCTTGGAGCTGCTATTAAAGGAGGCGATATGGGACCGGGTCGAGGGTTTTGCTACCTGGGGTATATAGTCGGCTTTATAATACAAGGTACCGGTGTGTAGCATATACCCGGCTGCGCCCCTGCAGGGTGTGTGGCCTGGAGACTCCAAAAACCAACGGCTGAAAGCAGCCTATGCTGCATTCTGTGCCTGGTGTCACGAACACAAGATTCCGCACCCTGGAACTCAAAGAGTCTAGACTTCTCAATTGCAATCTTGCTAAGAACTCATGATAGCCCAGGCATTCGCAACCGCTCTTCCAAGCGAAGCATCTACGTTCGAACCAAGGCTCCGAAGTGGAATTGGCCGCCAAGGCATACAATGTGCCTGGGATGGTATTTCCGTTTAGGGTGCAGGTGAGCAGGGACGTCAGGTCCATGCAGACGTCGTCCTCATCGACCTGACGTCCCTGCTCAGTCCTGCTGCTGGTAGAGATTTGGATTCATCAGAGGAGGCCCGGATTTTCCATTGCAGTCCCAAATATAATGAAACAACAAGCACTTCCAACCCATTTAAGGGGCCGGGATTAATTAGGCCTCGGGGTTAGCGGTTTAGGGTTTAGGGTTAAGCCCCAAACCCGAAAACCTAAGCCCTAAACCCCAAAACCCCAGCCCGAAACCCCAAACCCGAAAACCAAAGCTCTACACCCCAAACACGAAAAATTAAACCGCAGCCCCAAACCCCAAACCCAGAAATCTAAACCCGAAACCGCAAACCCGAAAACCTAGGCCGTAAACCCCAAACCCCAAAAACCCTAGCCCTAAACCCCAAAACCTAAGCCCTAAACTCCAAACCCGAAAACCTGAGCCCGAAACCCCAAACCGGAACACCTAATTAAACCCCAAACCCAGAAACACCAGCCCTAAACCAAGGGTTATAATTTGGCGTTTCGGGTTTCAGTTATATCCAAATTACAGATCCAGGCGCGGGTTGTGACGAGCTGGCTGGCTGACTTTACGGTGGAGTTGCTACACGAAGAGCCCTACTGCAATGATGACAATCTCATGAAGCTTGGGCAATGCATGCAGCTTGACTGTATGCCGGCGGGCTGAAAACCTCATGTCGATTATTAACGTTAACAGATCCGAGGCACTTCCTCAGCGAGCTGATGAATGTCGTGGAAGCCTCGCCGCGATATTTGGGGGACGAGCAAGTCGCTCGCATGGAATATTGTCACAATGCTGCCCTCACCGCCTACGGTATCCTCGCCCACGAGTCTGCTCTTAATGCTCTCTCGATGTTTCCCATGAGACCCAAGCTGCATGCACCCTGGACTGCAAAAACCTACATGTCCAAAAACTAGGAATCGAATAGCTTGCAGCTCCGAGGCAGTTCAGGAGCTCGTCTACTTCGCCGCCACCGAGCGAAGCCAGCAAGCATGGGAATCACTCGACATGACCGATTAGGGTTTAGGGTTTAGGGTTTTGGGTTTAGGATTGTGTCGGGTTTATAATTAGGGAAGCGGCAATGCTGGCAGTCATTTTGGGGTCTATGGGTTATAAACGATCCGAGGAGTGAACTTCAGAATGTACCACACTTTTGCATCAGAGGATGCAAATGGACGGTTGGTTCGAATCTTGGCTAATGTGGTGGCCTGGCTGTTACGTATTATTAATAATTAATTATGCAGCAGCTAGCAGCTGAGGCATAGCAGCTCGTGCACATGCTCGCTCCCTCGAAAGATCGACTCTTCGGCGCTTTTACATGTGGCGGCTGGCTTGCATTATTATCTACCCTGCCCCCCGGTCCCGAATCCAAAGGTACTCCGGTCCACTATAAAAGGCTAGTGCAGCATCCTTAAAACCGAGCCCCCAAGCCACACTCACACTGCGAACCAAAGGTATTGCCATCCGAATCGAGGTTTAAGCCTCCAGGCCCCTATACCGGTACCCTTAAACCCTAAACCCGAAGCCCCCAAACCACCAAACCCCTCTGCAACCCCTAAGCCCTTAAACCCCTCTGTAACCCCTAAGCCCTTAAGCCCCTAAGCACGAAACCCCTAAGCCCTTAAACACTTACTAGTAAGGCCTAAGGACTCAGAGTCCTGAGAAGGTACGAGGGCTAGGACTGTTCGGCTGGATCCTGATGCCGTAAACTTAAGGTTCAGGGTGTTATGGCCTTCAGGCTCTGGTTTTCCGCGCAAGGCTTTCGGGTTTTAGGGTTTACGCTTCAGGGCTTTGTCGCGATCGTGCCTCATAGCTAAGGATGATTGCAGATGGAGGCGATGAGCCTCATGATCATGAGGATGCCTAAATTGGCCTAAATTCGAAGAGCTCCGGTTCAAGCTTAATTAGCCCCGGTTTAAACGCTACAACGTCGTGCTGTACCCGCCTCCTAGACACCCATGCATATATATATATATGCGATGCATGATCCGGAGCTTGGCCGTTGGATAGCAACGGAACAGCTGCAGACGATGCGAATGAAAAAAATCGACGGCTGCTGGCACGCGGTGTATGCTATTGCATGCGATTTCGGACTCACACATATATATATATATATTATATATGCTTGCATAATATTAACCTAATCTGAAACGTAATATAGCCTATATATAGGCTTTGTCCGGGCGTGTTAACGGTGTCTTGAATTTTGTGCTTGGTGCGTCAGCTTGTTGGCAAACAAGCGCATTAAAAGCAGCCCTTAAAACATAATCTGCAGCGTAGAAAAGAGGCAGAAAAGTTTGTTCATTTCCACACTTTGTGCCCCCGAGCCCGCTTGGTCCCAGGGCCCACTCCGATCGTCGTTTATATAAACTTCCTATGTCTGGATTTCAAGTGCTCTCTCTGCACACACTTGGGAGCCTTTGGGGCCTCAACCAGACGACAACCCTGAGGTATTGCTTGTCTCTTTCCCTTCAGCTTCCAAGACCGCTCGGGTTGACGGTTAGGGCGGCTTGGGGTCCGGCTCGGGGCTCCGCAAGATAAAAACTGTTCAATCTGAAACCCTGAGTCTGCTTATAGTTGAAGGACACTACAGGTGGGGAGTTTGGGGTATATAGGGCTTCTATAGGGCTTCTATAAGGTATATAGACCTCTATAAGGCTCCTATAACGGCAACTACCCACCTGAAAATGTCCTAGATATAGAATATAGACCCTTAAGAACCAAAAGCAATACACAAATACCTATATCTAGCCTTAACCCTACTACCAAAATCTGAGATCAGAATGCCTAACCTAATACCTGAACCGACCCAACCCCCTAAACCGCAACCCTAAACCCTAAACCCAACCCCCTAAACCGCAACCCTCAACCCTAAACCCAACCCCCTAAACCGCACCCCTCAACCCTAAACCCAACCCCCTTAAACCGCAACCCTCAACCTAAACCCAACCCCCTAAACCGCAACTTGAAAATAAAAATACAGCCTACTTCGGACTAGCCCGAAATCCGGCACTCGCGGAGCTCGGCCAGCAAATGAAGCAGTCGCCTCAGGAACGCTTTTTTGAGGGGTTTAGGGTTTAGGCCTTTGGGCTTAGGGTTTAGGGTGCTTTTTTGGGGGGGCTCAAGGCAGTCTTCGTTGGACTGGGAAGCTTTGCTAAGGGTTTGGAGTTTCGGGTAAGGGTGTTGGGGCTTTAGGCTGCTTTTCAAGATTAACCGTGCTTTCCGGGTGAAAGTATGTGCACTATTTAATCCTTGAGATAATGTGTTACAGTACATGATATTTCAGACCTAGTATAGTATAGTATAGCATAGTATAGTATAGTACAGTATAGTATAGTACAGTATAGTATAGTATACTATACTATTGTATTTTATATTATAGTATACTATAATAGGTAGAGTATAGTTAGCCTCTGGGCTTAAAGCTTGAGACCGTCGAAGATGAGCCTGAGAGGGGCGCGAGAGGCCCCAGCTACACAGACCACCTAAACCCTAAACCCTAAACGCTAAACCCTAAATAAGTTCAGTGGCTTTGCGCTTATAAGACGTAGCAAGAGCCTTGGAGGGGTGTTGAAACAGATTGCTAAGCTTTGGAGCTTGGCTGGGGGGTGACTGTCGTTTAAGGTTTCTAGGGTGAAGGGAGCTTCAAGGAAGCCGTGAATAGTATAAGTAGGTATCCGCATGCACCAAAGCCCGTGCGTTGCTAAGCGATCATGTAGGGTGGTTGTGAGGACCATCTGGTCATCCCTAAACCCTAAACCCTAAAATGAGAAGATATGATTTGAGACCTTTCAGCTGGAGATTAAGGCTGAACGGATAGCTGGTTCTGGGGAGTAAGATTCGGGGTTCAGGTTTCCTATTAAGCAAAACAAAGTCTAAACCACATACCCTAAACCCTAAACCCTACAACCCTAAACGGCCCTAAACCCTAAACCCTAAACCCCTAGAGCCCTAAACCCCTAAACCCTAAAACCCTAACCCTAAGATCCCGGAACTCCAGCCCGCCCGCTTCGAACCCCTGGGGGTGCCGGCGTCATCGACGGCTGCAAAGGACTCGTCGACTCCCCGGGGGCATCTGGGCCGTTCCGCATGTAGGGCTTAGGGGGCTTAGGGGTGTAGGGTTTAGTTTAGGGGCTTAGGGGTTTAGGGGCTTAGCGGCTTAGGGTTTTAAAAGGGGTTTAGGGTCTAGGGGTTTAGGGATTTAGGGGTTTAGGGTCCTAAAAGGGGTTTAGGGTTTAGGGGTTTAGGGATTTAGGGGTTTAGGGGCTTAGGGGCTTAAGGGTGTAGGGGGTTTAGGGATTTAGGGGTTTAGGGGCTTAGGGGCTTAGGGCTTTAGGGGTTTAGCGGTTTAGGGGCTTAGGGGCTTAGGGCCTAGTTTAGGGATTTAGGGGTTTAGGGGTTTAGGGGCTTAGAGGTTTTAAAAGGGGTTTAGGGTTTAGGGGTTTAGGGATTTAGGGGTTTAGGGTCCTAAAAGGGGTTTAGGGTTTAGGGGTCTAGGGATTTAGGGGCTTAGGGTTTTAAAAGGGGTTTAGGGTTTAGGGGTTTAGGGGCTTAGTGGTTTAGGGGTTTAGCGGTTTAGGGGCTTTAGGGCTTAGGGGTTTAGGGGCTTAGGGGTTTAGGGGTTTAAGGGCTTAGGGTTCAGGGGTTCAGTGGTTTAGGGGATGGCCTTGGGTTCAATAGGCCCTCAAAACGAGCTGAGAGGTTTTGCGGCGGATTTCCAGGCTCCCAGCAGGCTCTTAAGGGGCTGGGAGGCTTACAGTTTAAGAGTGTAGGGTGCAAGCATTTGGGTAGTTCTCCAAATTAGGGTCCCTCTTTAAATCCCCAATAACGTACGGCACCCTTATAAAAGGGACCCTAAAATGGCCCTAAAAGGGACCCCTATTTAGCAGCTTCCACAAACTTCTGGGGCTTGCAAGCCGGGCCTCTCTCTGCCGGGGGAGGTGGCGGGGCCGCGGCTGCGGCTGAAGCCTCATGGAAGGCACACGTTCAGAGCTTTTGGCTCAGGGCTTGTTCTATCACATGCGTCAGGGTTGAGGATTTTCAGAGTCTTGGGCTTTGTTTTTTCAGAGTCTTGGGCTTTAGGTCTGCAGGGATAAGCTTTCGGGCGTCTGTGCTTGATGGCTTGCTTGGAGTGTCGTAACTGCTCTAGGGTTCCCTCGGGTTAGGGTTTGAGTGTTTAGGGCTTCCGTATTTCTTGGTTGCTTTTGGCATGTTTGGCTCTAACCCTGAACCCTAAAACCTACACCCTAACCCCTAAACCTAAAACCTGCGCCCTGCACCCTAAACCCAAGGCCCTGAACCCTAAACCCAAAACCCTAAACCCTAAACCCTAAACCCTGAACCCTAAACCGTAAACCCTAAACCTCGAGTTCTTTAGGATCTTAGGGGTCTAGGGCTTCAGGCGTCAAGGCCGGTGGGCTTTGCGGCTTTCGTTTTTTGTTTTTGCTCTTTTTTTGCGGTTTAGGCATCTAGGTTTCAGGGGGTTTAGGGTTTAGGGTTTAGCGTTTGAGCTCTAGGGTTCGAGAGCTTAGGGTCTTAGGGTCTAGCTCTTGGGTTCTAGGGCTTACAGGGTTTAGGGCTTTGGCTCTTGCGTTCTAGGTTCTATAGGGCTTAGGGTTTTAGGGTTCGGGCCTTGCGAATTCAAGGTTTGAGGGTTTTTGTTGGGGGCTTCGGGAGCGTGGCTCGTCAGCACTGACATCCCCTGACGCCCGCAAAGCCGAAACCCTAAACCCTAAACCCTAGTAAAGCCGAAACTCGCTGCAGACCAAGGAGCCGAATGTCCTAGACCGCGCTTTGAAGTGACCGGGACGGCTTGGGGTTGAAAGGGCTTGGGATGTAGGATTCTATTCCATACTGGCTACCAAGGAACAGCTCCAAAAAACACCAATAAAGTCTAGTAGCCCTAAACCCCAAAGACTAAACCTAGTCAAGCCCCCAGGCCCGAAATCCGCCAACCCCAAAACGCCCCTGAATCTTGAATAGTTCGAAGAGGGTTTAGGGTTTAGGTTTAGGTTTTAGGGCTTAGGTTTTGGGGTTTTGGGTTTAGGTTTGAGGGTGTAAGGTTTAGAGTTTAGGGTGCTCAAGTCTTAAATAGGGGCTTGAATAATTCGAGCAGA